GGGGTCAGGGATCCCACGCCAGGAGTCCAGGGGTCAAACCCCAACCAAGGCTTGGCCCTTGGGGATCCCCACGTGACAACCCTGGCTCTATCCTAATTTTCAATTGACCTGCCCAGGTCCATGTCCAATTCCCACGAGCGTCCAAACACTCATCATCATCCCTCCATTTAATATCATGTGCCTGTGGACCACTAACTGTCATCTCGCACACTTGTTCTTTCTGTATTGCCCTTCTCCTTTCATAAGTCTGGGGGCCCTATATCCATGTTTTTAATTGACCTTCCTGGTTCTGCGTCCGAGTTCCCCGTCCAAATCCTCGTTGCCCCTCCATCTAATCCCATCTACCTGTGGACCACTAAGTGTCATCTCCCACCCTTGTTCTTTCCGCATTGCCCCTTCTCATACCCGCTCTACATCTTATCCTTTTTTTTTTTGGTTGAAACAGCTCATGTTCCTAACTCTTTTCCATTTTGAAGAGCATCAGTGCAGTTCCTTCGCCCCCAGCAAGTCTGAATAGACACATCATGTACACACTCAACTTGCTATCTTTACGATACCTCTCAGACTTCGTGGAGACCGAGGCTATTCTTTTCCCATTGCCCATAGTCCTTTCATACCCCCTCTACAACTTATCCTCTTTTTTTTCTTTCGGTTGAGACAAGTCCCTATGGTCCTGACTACTTGCCCGTTCTTGGGGGCGTCAGTCCAGTTCAGTTTTTACATCATGTACAGACTTGTATGAACCCTTACCTGCACTCATTGCTCCCTTCTGGAGGATTGACAGTCAGCCTGCCCTCTCTAGGTGCCTCTCAGGCTTCGTCGCGACCAAGGCTATGAGCTCTCCAATCTTTGGCAGCCAATGTTGTCATTCAGGTAGTGCCCAATATCTTCTGCCGCAGTCTGTTGTCCTCAACAGTTGCATTTTTCCCGAGGGAATCCGAACGGCCAGAAGGGTCATGAGGAGGCCAAAGTGGCAGTTCCAAAGTCAGAAGTTGGTCCAAGAGCCTCTTGAAAGACCCTAGGAAGTCTTTTGGCTGGAAGGCCTGGGACCAAAGATCAAAATGAGGCACCCAGCGGGATTACAAGTTGAGGGACCGGCTGGCCTAGCTCAGTTGGTACACCCATGAATTGTCGAAATATAGACCTGAGATGGGATTCAGATGGTGCTCAGTGGATTAAACTGCAAGGAAATAAGTATGAGAACAGTGGTAAACCAGATAGCGAAACCTCAAGATCATACATAATCGAACCGTACTGAAAGCAGAAATCGAAGCGATATGCACACCAAATAGGAACGAGGAATATACCGAAGTCTCTTGATAAAGAAGGCCCTTCCACCGCCTCCAACCATGAATACAATGACAATGTAGTCTCCCTATTGCCAGCCGCCCATCCTATTCACATGCCGGCAAAGGTCCACGTATCATTCGCCCGATGCCCTTGAAGACTCCGGTCGGGCCTGCGTTCATCAACATCAGGTATATGCCTCGTTTCTGCTGCCTCCCTTCTCCCTTCCTTTCCCAAGGATCGTCACACTTCCAACATCCGTCTACGGCGTGAACAGCCCGGCTATGGCTGGGTCCATCCCCTTCCTGCCCCCTGCCATCGCAGCAGCTGGAGCAGCATGGCCACGCAGCCTGAATGCATGGGTGTGTCTGACTGCNCTGGAGCAGCATGGCCACGCAGCCTGAATGCATGGGTGTGTCTGACTGCACGGCCAGCCTTCTTTGTGCTGGCTGGCGAGGCTGGAGAGGCAGTGTGCAGACCCTGCAACCGGGGCCTTCCGAAAGAGTGTACAGACCCTGCCTCTGTAACCAAAATGTGCGCTCGGCCTACTGGTTGGTTGCGAGGCTGCATGCTGCATGTCGATAACCACCCGGGGCCCTTCTCTTAGGGCCTACTTGCATTCTCCTGGCCCGCCTTCACTTAGGGCGGGCAGGGCCTGTCCTGCACAGTCGAGGGCCTAATTCCTCTAATACCCTCCCCCTCAGGTTCGGAAGCCCTCTAAGAACCCATCAATCCAGCAGTTGCTTCCATTTCAAAGCCCATTCATATTGATACACAATCTGAGGTGCAGTCTTCAGAAGCTTATCCCTTATGCACCATCAATCCTCTTTGGGATCCAGGTGATGTCTGCCGTCTTCTGCTTCATATTGATACACAATCTGAGGTGCAGTCTTCAGAAGCTTATCCCTTGCGCACCATCAATCCTCTTTGGGATTCAGGTGATGTCTGCGGTTTTCTGCAGCATATCCCTTATGCACCACCAATCCTCTTTGGGATCCAGGTGATGTCTGAAGGCCACCGTGTACAGCATCTGCAGTTTCGGGGGCCTTCCTCTTCCAGCCCGCTTCAGTACTGGCATCACCTTGTGCTCAATGATCTGATCGATGGGGGGCCACATTGATCGTCGAGAGGAGACTCATCAGAGTGGGAAAAAGCCAAGAGTTTGGAGGCGTGAAAGACAAGGTAGGCACGCAAATGAGGAGGAAGAAGAGCAATAGCATTAG